CACACACCCACAAAACACCCTCACACACACACACCCACAACACCACACACACACCACACACACAACACAACCACACACACCACACACACCACACACCCAACCCACACACCCTCTCACACCACACACCAACCCACACAACCTCTCCACACCACACACAACCTCTCACACCACACACACAACACGCACACAACACACACACCCACACAACACACAACACACATCACACACCACACACACACAACACACATCAAACACCACACACACACAACACACACACAACAGATACACACACCAACACACCACCACACCACACACACCACACACACCACAACACACAGACAACACAACACAACACACACACATACACAAACACACACACACATATACACAACAACACACATATACACACACACACACCACCGCAGCCACACAACACCACACACCACACACACACACAACCCACACAACCCTCTCACACCACACAACCCACAACCCTCTCACACCACACACAACCCACACAACCCTCTCACACCACACACACACACACAACCCTCTCACACCACACACACACACACAACTCTCTCACCCACAACACACACAACTAAATGTTTGTTTCGCCGTATTTAGTAACGCCGAATTCGGCTAGAAACGTTCGTCTGGAACTCGCCCTTCACCGCACGCCATTTCCGCAGAGAAGTTTTAATCCCCTTGGGACGATAACTCATGGACGACTTGTGGCTTTAGTCCGTTCACTTACCGCCCCCTCGGTTATCCACTGCTGGATGAAGGCCTCCTGACACCGTGTCGGTAACGGGGGGTGGGTTGAGGATTACGGAGGCATGCCTGGCCAAGCTGGCAAGCAGACACCGTTCAGATGTCACTCCGCGGAAAACCCTGAGCCGAGATTAACAAACAAACACACTCAACCATATATATGTACAAATACTGTTTTCTATGGTATTTCTCTCACTTGATACAGCAATCGTGCTGTGACGGTTCCACCTGAAGACGGAAGCTTGTGTTGCCTCCGAAACGTCGTGATTTTTATTTTATTTTACTTTTATTAATTTTTATTTTTTACCTACGTGACTTTACCGAAAAAAAAACTAAAAATATAAACAAAAAAACAACTCGGATCGATGGGCTGATGAGAGCGCGGTGCCCTAACCGCAGCGCCACCACTCTGTGGCACAATTGAAAATAAATCATTGCCATTCTCACCCAAGGATGATCGATACACATTCGGGCATTTTGTGTTGCTCAGCTGGTATGGTGAGTTTTGTCACAACTGGTTAGGTTCTGTGTAGTTTTCATAACAGAACACATGCCGTGTCCTGGGATGGATTGGCCAGGGTGAATAAAACGTCAATTTGCTTCCCCAAATATAAAACACGAACGCCAAAAACAAAGTGGGAAAAACACACAAAGTTCAATGTTTGTACTGTTTAATTCCTGCCACGGTTTAATACAACAAAACACCGCTGTTCCAAACGCCCGTTCCCGATCAGTAACACTGAAAGGGGGTTTAGGGATTGAAAGGGGGACACGTTTACCGGGGAAAATTCTCTCCTAGAGAGAGAGAGGGCCACAGTGAAGACCGGACCGCAACTAACACACCGGGTTTCACTGCACACGATTCACGCACTGCGGTGCGACTTTGCTAGTCATTGTTCACAGGAGTTCATCACCGCTTTCAGGCCCTGGACTGGACATCTGACCGCTATCTCTGCGAGACGACCCGCCACTCGTCTGGCCAGCGGTCAACATGGACACACCCTTCATTCATCAATCGTCCATCGGTGTACGTCTAACACACCAACATGCTCATGAATGCAAATTATTTAACCAGGAAAGCGTGAGTCTCAAGGCTCTCTTTTCAGGAAGGTCCTACAGCTTTTGGCACGTTTGGCCAATTCCATGAATGAGTGTTTGCCCTTATTCAAAACAAACACCAGACTACCAAGTCAGGGGGGGGGGGGGGGGCACACACACACACTCACCACTGCCATCTCCTGGCCACAACACCTGGCAAGCCCCTGGTGGTCACCCATCCGAGACCTCACGAGGTTCTAACCCGCTTGGCTTTTGAGGTTGGGCGCCCTTATGCTAATGTGACTGTAGATTTGGTCATCACCAGACTTGGAAAGGTTGCAAAAGCGTCGTGCAAACTCTGTCCCACACAATTTCAAGTGCCCCCCCCTACCCCCACTATTAATCTTCTCATAGCCAAGCCCGCTCACAACCCGTCCCTCCCATCCACAGCCCCCCCCCTCCTCCGATGGGGCTTAATTAGAGGTCATTGTGATTAATGGGCCGAAACCAGGAGCCGAGCTTGACGATGCCTTGGGGGATAGATGCACGCGCGCGTGTGTGCGTGTGTGTGCGCGTGTCTTGTGTGTGCGCGTGTGTGCGTGTGTGTGCGTGTGTGTGCGCGTGTGTGCGCGTGTGTGCGTGTGTGCGCGTGTGTGCGTGTGTGCGCGTGTGTGCGTGTGTGTGCGCGTGTCTTGTGTGTGCGCGTGTGTGCGTGTGTGTGCGTGTGTGCGCGTGTGTGCGCGTGTGTGCGTGTGTGCGCGTGTGTGCGCGTGTCTTGTGTGTGCGCGTGTGTGCGTGTGTCTTATGTGTGCGCGTGTGTGTGCGTGCGCGTGTCTTGTGTGTACGCGTGTGTGCGTGTGTGTCTTATGTGTGCGCGTGTGTGTGCGTGTGTCTTATGTGTGCGCGTGTGTGTGCGTGCGCGTGTCTTGTGTGTACGCGTGTGTGCGTGATGTCGTAGCCACCCCTGCATGGACCCCCCACCCATCCCAGCCACCCCGCCTGGCATTGGCGGCTCTGCAAATTCTAGATTTGAAGCTTTCGTGACTGCAAGGATTCATATTCTTAGTTTTTTTTCGGTAAAGTCACGTAGGTAAAAAAAAATAATTAATAAAAGTAACATAATTTATTTTATTTTTATTTTACTTTTATACATTTTTATTTTTTACCTACGTGACTTTACCGGAAAAAACCTAAGAATATGACTCTGCAAATGTCAGTGATGAACATGAAATCGGCGCAAGAGCGAGAAAGCCGGGTGGTGGTGGTGATGATGGCAAGCAGCTTGAGGAGCCCCAGCACATGATAGCCAACCGAACGCGAAGCTAATGCCTAACCCCGGGGTTGCCACTATATTAAAAAAACTTTCATGATCGCGATACGATATTAAAATTAGGATGAGTATCGCAATAACAGTTCCTTGTACGATTGCAATTTGTTTAATTGTTGTTTTCATTGATTTGAAGTCCTTTGATCAAGAATTAAGAATACTGCTCCTTCAAAGATCTTCGACTGCAGTTTCGCTCAACACAATCCCATCACGAGTCGACGGAAATTGCCGGGACTTAAAAATGTGTCCGATTGCTTATAACGGTGGCGTTACATAACCAACTATGCCGTCGATCCGAACCATGTAATAATCCTTCTGGAAGGAAAATAAATATTGAAGAATGTTTTCTGATAAGGCAAGATAATAGTGATATATCTTGCAAAGCGGGCAGTAAGATTATCGCTGATTTAATCATGTGTGACATCGTTGTAGTATCGCCGGAAACACAACCGATCCAGAACCGACAAGCAACACTTATCACTGTCACGAACCATTCAAACATTGACCCATCGATTAAAAAGCGATCGTGCAGCTCATGATACATTTAAAAAAATTATGCGTGTAGTAACTAATAATGCAAATCACGTCGACGGAACGACAATCAAAACAAACAAGCCACAATGGGAATTTAAAAAACATTCGTAAAAAAAAACGTTACTCAGAATCCTAACAATTCCTTGAATCACACGTGAAGTGGAGGTGAATTGTTACCCGTCTACCTCGTGCTGACCTTAGCCCTAACCCCTAACCCCTGACAGCCCCCCACTCCACTAGCAAAGGACCCCCCCCCCCCTCATTTTCATTTCGTTTGCTTCTCAATTTGTGTCGTTGTTGTTCGAAGGAGCCACGCTCGCACGCAAAGGCCGGGATCGATCCACAAGAGGGCGCATTTGTTCACTAGGGGCAGAGGGCATGACAACACATTCGCTCCTGTTGTGGCGAATGTGCAATAACAACCACGGGCTCCAGATGTCTCTAAAGAGCAGCTTCAAACGAGAGGGGCGGGAGGGGGGCCATGATTAACTCTCACGCTTTCTCTGTTTCCTTTTTTAAAACACATGAAGCAATATTTTAAAAAAATGACACGTACTCTGTAAACAGTGTCGTCCGCTGTGCGGAGAGAGATGTCAATTAAAAAACACGTGAAGTTTACTCACCACAACGGTGCTCACTAAAAGGGGTTTGTCATTGACAGAAGTCTGCCTGCTGAGGATAAAAAGACGTCGCAATGGAAGCGTCCGTCTCCAAGCACGAGACCGCTGCTGGAAAACAAAACAATTTTAAACCTCCCCCGCGTCTTCGTTTTTGACTCCGCGAATTCCGACTCTTGGCACAAGTGCGCCACTCCCCCAGCCAACAACAGCATGGCCACACGCCGGCTGGAAAGCAAATAGCTGGACGGAACGCCAGTTTTTTTTTCTTCCTCCCCAAACACGAATTATGAAAGAAAAAAATCCCCACCTCGATTCAAATGAAATGGTCCGTGACCAACTCTCACACTTGCAGACCGGCAGTCAGCTGTGGAGCAAACCAAATCCCTCGGAGGAAGGGGGAGGACGGTGGCTGTGGCTTGGGGAAAGAAACTTTGGGGTTTTTTGTGCGGCCGGATCCACCCCCCCCATGGTTTTGTCGGAGACGCGCAGAGGGAGAAGTCGCAGGGGCGCCTCCGAGCAGCGTGCGCTTCGCACTCACTGCTGCTTCTTGCCACCGCCGCTTTGCAGGCCGTTCTCCTGAGCCTCGCTGCACGCGACGGGGAAGGGGGAGAAAGCGCCGATGAGGTTTGTGATTTCGGCGCGAGCTTTGCCGAACACACCGATAAATCCGCACGAGACGTACACAACAACAACAACGGAGGTGGCACGCGCGTGCTCCACAAAGTTCGCCAAGCCAACGAGGGAATCTGTCGGAGGGGACGCGAGTGGAGGCCACAGCAGAGCGGTGTGTGTGTATGTGCGTGTGTGTGTGTGTATGTGCGTGTGCGTGCTTCGGGAGGTTATTGAAGGTGGACCGATTAAAAAAATTATGACTTAAAAGAGCCGTACGAGAGCATATATAGATTTTGGAAAGCTGAACAGGACGGTGCAAAGTCAACATACCATTATCCCTTAAGAAGAGTGTTTAATCGGTGTATATTACCTGCTATGACGTATGAATTGCAAATACTGGGCATTGACAAAGTGTCCGCTTGCGGTTACAGCGAGAAAACAGAAAGATGGTCACGTGGATTAGAGAACTTTTTACGTAGAACTTTTTTCGCACCATATGTAGCCAAGCGTGCTAATAGGAGGTGCGGAGGGGGAAAACAACAAACTAAACACAAAAATCAGTTAGAAAGAAATGAGTTCCCAATCTAGACGATTTAAAAATGCATAGCTCCAGTGGCTTCCTAATATCGGAAGGAAGAGCGTTCCAGACGGCCACAGGAGCGCATCTGAAAAGCACGCCATGCGGTGACCACCGCCTTTGTTCGATGGCCAGCCAAATGCACGTTACAGACGTCGCGTTGGCCAATGAGGAAACAACGTGGGCTGGGGCAGGACACGTTGTCGCTGGAGCGGACGATCGACGGCCGGCGAGCGAGACTGACGACAGGGTGGCAGCTAAAGCGGGGAGGACGGACGCCCCGAGGCGACGTCCACCACGGAGACGGAGCGGTTAAAACCGCTCGCGTGCCGATGCTCAATCGCTCGCCGCTATATATCGCAGGACCACGACGGATGGCATTGGCTTGGGGAGGCATTAGTCCAGGTGGTGAAGAGATCCGGGATGATCGTGATTTGAGGGCGGGCACAAGCCGGCATGAGTAGGTTAAACGTTGAGTTTTATAAGGGCACCACGGGGTGACCAGCCCCTCCCCACCCAGCCCCACCCTTCCCATCCCCCACCCAGTCCCACCCTCCCCACCCAGCCCCTCCCCACCCTCCCCCACCCAGCCCCTCCCCACCCTCTCCCACCCAGCCCCTCCCTGCACGATGGACGGACAGAAACAATAATCCCCTATGGGCTGGTGGAACCAGGAGGTTCCTACCAGTATAAATAAATAAACATTCTAAATCATGACAATTACAAAAACTCGTGCGCGGTTTCAGTGCCGTTGTCCAAATAAATAAAATGCGCCTCCACTTCTGGATTGTTCTGATGGCACAGCCGTGATAGTGCGAGTGGAAAAATCCGGGATGGAGGAGGGGAGTAAAAAGCCCATTGACTAAAAAAATAAGCGTGCACATTTGGTATTTGGTCTATTCTACATTGCGCAACGGCGAGTTCACGAAGCCGCTGTGGTCACACACTTTGCAATCTTTGCTCAACATTTCCCTCTTGAGTTGACAGCTGCGGAACCGGTGTTGCGAGTGAGAAACAAATGACAAACGGCGATGGGTGGACGTGCGGCCTGCGGTCTTCAGTGCGATCAACTTTTAAACAGAGGTGCGGTTCATATTCTTAGGTTTTTTCGGTAAAGTCACGTAGGTAAAAAAATTTAAATTAAAATTTATAAAAGTAAAATAAAAAAATAAAAAAATAAAAATTCACGACGTTTCGGAGGCAACACAAGCTTCCGTCTTCAGGTGGAACCGTCACAGCCAGGACAGCTGTATCAAGTAAATGAGAGATTACAAGAGCTACCACTCCGTATATATAATGGTTGAGGGGGGAAGGGCCCGGAAAGGCACACCATCCTACCCATGTGCTCAACCGATTTTCACTCGATTGACGGAAGGAAAAAACTGGGAAGAGCCACGCGAGAGGTGCAGAGGAGCGAAAGATGGATTCGGATGGAAACTGCGGCGAAGCGGCCTCGCTCACTCACCCTTTTCCTTTGCCGCGTTTCGCGTGAGACCGGCGCTCCCCCTGCGTCATTGCCTCCCCCTCCGGGCCCGTGCTCACTCGCTCATTCACGTCGAACTCGCGCAGATCGTCCACTTCCTTCATCTGCCCCGTCAGCACCTTCGCCACGAAGGCCACGATGAACTACGGGGCGAGGGGGCAGGGGTGAGGGCGCCGGTAACAGGGAACAGATCAGACAATAAAACGACACCTCTGCCACGTGTTTATGGGCTTGGGCAGGTCGGAGTTCTTAGATTGCTGTTGCCCCCGCCAACTTTGCGGCTAACTGACAGGCGATTTTCTTTGCCACGTGTGCCCTTTGTATTTACCTGATAAGCTTACAGATTAATGCTGCATTTCCAGAAGGCAACGAAACACCGCATTCTGAGAATTCACAGCGAGTCCGTAACCTCGTTGGGTTTATTCGTTTTTTTTTTCCCAGCGCTTTGCCTATCTGCGGCTGTGCGACGTCTGTACGGGTAAAATAATTGAGGTTTTTTCTTTCTCTTTCCACATTTGAGAGTCCAAACGGTTAAAACCGGCAGCTATTACGGCCTCTGATTAGATGTTCCGATGTCGGCTGCGTGGAGTCTACACAAGCATGTATTAGACAAGAAAGGTCAACCGTACATTTGTATCATTACCCACACACACACACACGCAATAGTTATCACGCTATCTACTGGACCGACTGTTCCTGTCAATTATGCAACTTAAAAAATAATATCTATCGTCTATCAGTGTTGCCGTTGCAACAGCTTATTGTGCATACAATATTAATGAGGTACAAAGTGTGCAGCGTGTTCTTGCATAAACGCTCTGGACACACCACCTTGAATATGCCCGATTTCGTCAGAACTCAGGTCTTGAACCTGGCTAGTGGCGGGACGTGATAGGCTGGGGCTGTGAGGTGGCCAGCAGGTGGCAGTACAGCAATGGATTATTGAATCCATCCGTGCAACGCTCTGCGTGTTACCCCCAGGGTTGCACACGCTCGGCCGCCTCTGTCTCCCCAGTGGCGATGTTTACATTCCGGTTAGCACGGTTGGCTACGTACGGTGCGACAGCAGTTCAACATACACACACACACCGCACAGGGTACGTATTTGAGGCCGAGTTGACCTAGGGAAGGGCCCAGGATCGGTTCAGATAATCGTCGCTGATGTTGGCGGCCGCGAGCGGGAATCAAACTGGGGTCGCCCGGGTCCAGAGCGCAGCATGGTAACCAAGACGGCGGTCACTGCATCGCGCCGCTCTCAGATGCCCTTCTGCGGCCGTCTGGAACGGTCTTGCTTCCGATATGCACTTATAAATCGTCGTCATCTAGATTGAAAACTCATTTCTTCAGCACTGCTTTGAGTGTTTAGTTTGCTGTCCTTGCCCCGCAACTCCGATCAGCGCGGTTGTCTATGTACGCCGCGAAAGAAGTTCTACACACACGTAGATACGTGACTAGCGGACTGCAATTAGAATACCGAGGGTCGCCGGTTCGACTCAATCTCCCGTGCTCGACAGTTGAATAATGGGGCGAGTTTTTTTTATTTGACAAGAACCTGGGGGGGGGGGGGGGGGGGGGGTGGAGCGGGCTGGAGGGGGATGTCAGGGGGGGGGGGGCTCCGACTGACCGAGAACCAGTAGACGTTCATGCCGGTGAGTATGATGAGCAGGGTGTTGAACAAGAAGTAGAAGGGCATGTTCGGGATGACGGTGAGCACCGTGACGGCGGTGGTGTGCACCACCTTGAGCGGGAACCAGTAGAGGCGGCACACGAACCTGCGTGGCCACGGCACCACCGGGGTGGGGGGGGGCAGAGTGGGGTGGGGGGGGGAGCAGACGGTGGGCAGAGGAAACGTGCGGCCACTCCGCCAAACCCGGAGTCGCATCGAGAAACTTACCACGGTGAGGGGCGGTCGATAAATGTCAGGTTTTTTTGTTGTTAAATAGGGCCCCACGTGAATAAGTAAAACGTAACAATGCGAAGCGTTTTGTCTCGTAAATATCAATAACAGCAATTATAATAATTGCGGAGCGTCGTTTGTGCAAATTGCAGCGCGAAATGCTGCACGGCGAGAACCACACTGGTGTAAAAAATGGCATGACAACACCACAGAGACACACAGCATGAACACAATACAGGGGCAAGCAGGTGAACACAACACGAACCAGCAAGAACACCACAGTGACACACAGCATGGACACCACAGTGACACACAGCATGAACACCACAGTGACACACAGCATGAACACAATACAGGGTACACAGGTGAACACAACACGAACCAGCAAGAACACCACAGTGACACACAGCATGGACACAATACAGGGTGCGCAGGTGAATACAACACAAACCAGCAAGAACACCACAGAGACACACAGCATGGACACAATACAGGGTACACAGGTGAACACAACACAAACCAGCAAGAACACCACAGAGACACACAGCATGGACACAATACAGGGGCAAGCAGGTGAACACAACACGAACCAGCAAGAACACCACAGTGACACACAGCATGAACACAATACAGGGGCAAGCAGGTGAACACAACACGAACCAGCAAGAACACCACAGTGACACACAGCATGGACACAATACAGGGGCAAGCAGGTGAACACAACACAAACCAGCAAGAACACCACAGAGACACACAGCATGGACACAATACAGGGTACACAGGTGAACACAACACAAACCAGCAAGAACACCACAGAGACACACAGCATGGACACAATACAGGGTACACAGGTTAACACAACACGAATCAGCAAGAACACCACAGAGACACACAGCATGGACACAATACAGGGTATGCAGGTTAACACAAGACGATCCAGCAAGAACACCACAGAGACACACAGCATGGACACAATACAGGGTACACAGGTGAACACAACACGATCCAGCAAGAACACCACAGAGACACACAGCATGGACACAATACAGGGTATGCAGGTTAACACAACACGAATCAGCAAGAACACCACAGAGACACACAGCATGGACACAATACAGGGTACACAGGTTAACACAACACAAACCAGCAAGAACACCACAGAGACACACAGCATGGACACAATACAGGGTACACAGGTTAACACAACACGAATCAGCAAGAACACCACAGAGACACACAGCATGGACACAATACAGGGGCAAGCAGGTGAACACAACACAAACCAGCAAGAACACCACAGAGACACACAGCATGAACACAATACAGGGGCAAGCAGGTGAACACAACACGAACCAGCAAGAACACCACAGTGACACACAGCATGGACACAATACAGGGGCAAGCAGGTGAACACAACACAAACCAGCAAGAACACCACAGAGACACACAGCATGGACACAATACAGGGTACACAGGTGAACACAACACAAACCAGCAAGAACACCACAGAGACACACAGCATGGACACAATACAGGGTACACAGGTTAACACAACACGAATCAGCAAGAACACCACAGAGACACACAGCATGGACACAATACAGGGTATGCAGGTTAACACAAGACGATCCAGCAAGAACACCACAGAGACACACAGCATGGACACAATACAGGGTACACAGGTGAACACAACACGATCCAGCAAGAACACCACAGAGACACACAGCATGGACACAATACAGGGTATGCAGGTTAACACAACACGAATCAGCAAGAACACCACAGAGACACACAGCATGGACACAATACAGGGTACACAGGTTAACACAACACAAACCAGCAAGAACACCACAGAGACACACAGCATGGACACAATACAGGGTACACAGGTTAACACAACACGAATCAGCAAGAACACCACAGAGACACACAGCATGGACACAATACAGGGTACACAGGTTAACACAACACAAACCAGCAAGAACACCACAGAGACACACAGCATGGACACAATACAGGGTACACAGGTGAACACAACACGATCCAGCAAGAACACCACAGTGACACACAGCATGGACACGATACAGGGTATGCAGGTTAACACAAGACGATCCAGCAAGAACACCACAGAGACACACAGCATGGACACAATACAGGGGCAAGCAGGTGAACACAACACGAACCAGCAAGAGCACCAGTGACACACAGCATGAACACAATACAGGGTACACAGGTGAATACAACACGATCCAGCAAGAACACCACAGAGACACACAGCATGGACACAACACAGGGTACACAGGTGAACACAACACAAACCAGCAAGAACATCACAGTGAAACAGCACGGACACGATCTGTCGAACAGAAAGTAGTAATTTTTGTATAACTTTAGTATATATTCATATAATTTTGATTCATGTGTTTTTTTTCTGACTGTACGGCGAACGAAAATACACAAATGCACACCACGTTTTCACATTGAAAATAGGTACATTTCAAAATATCACTGTCCTGGTCACAAAAGCAAAGTTTGTGGGGAATAACAGCCATTTTCTGTACTTTTGAGGCATAAGCAATTAGGAAATAACACTTACTACCCAGGAACGAAATGTTTTTTTGTCACACAGTGTAATGCGCGTCTTGCAACGCGTCACGTAATCCAAGCGTCCTGCATGGTCTTTCCAAACACCGCTGCCCTCCTTTTATTGCACATTTGTTTGTTTTTATTTTCTTCTCATTTGGACACAGTTTGGTTCACTCCACGTGACGACATATAACACCCGCGCACTACTTGACTGTATACATGCGCAAACATTTTTTACACCCTTGGCTTAAAGCTTTCGTGACTGCAGGAACTCATATTGTTTGGGTCTTTCGGTAAAGTCACGTAGATAGGTTAAAAGAAAATAACAAAAAAAAATAAAAAAACTACGACGTTTCGATCGCAACGCAAGCGGTCGTCATCAGGAGGAAAAAAAGAGAGGAAAGCTGCTGAGGCAGACGGTTTAAAAGGTTTTGAAGGTTTAACCAAAACCTTTAAAACAGTCTGCCTCTGATGACGACCACTTACACCCATTACATTAAAGACGGTGGTCACTGCATCGCCCTCTTTCAGACGCGCTTCCGTGGCCGTCTGGAACGCTCTTCCTCCCGATATTAGGAAGCGACTGGAGCTCTGCACTTGTAAATCATCATCGAGATTGGAAACTCATTTCTTTAGAACTCGTTGGTTGTAGGTTTTCCCCTTTGTTCTGGTAACAAAACCGGTGTTAAGATGTTAAAACACCAAACTGAAACTTTTTACAAGGAATCATGTCTGCATTAACCACAATACTTGTGGTCAGAATGCAAACAAAAAACATACTCTGATAATGTATGCATTGTCTTTGAAACTGATTGGTCCACACACCTGTTTTGTTGCCAGAAAAAAAGGGGAAAACCTATCCTCATATTTTGGTATTGCCAAAGGAGGTCCCATGATCGTTTGTTGTAGTTCATTGAGTGTCCTTCCCTGCACATCTGATTAGCAAGATTGTCTACGTGCGGTGCGAAAAAAGTTCAACATACACACATTATTCAGTTACTTCAAAAGGGCTTTCCCAGAGTTATCGGGGGTTGTTTAACCATACTTCACACTACGCTGGTCAGTGCAGGTTTAATCAAGAGCGGTGGTGGTGGTGGTGGTGGTGGTGGCCAACATTGGTTGAGAAATCTCTCGCCGTGGCTGGGAATCCAACTCAGGTAGCCGGGTCCGTAGCGCTAGTCACTGCGACAGCGCTCCGCTCTACTCGGTAATGATCTGGACAAATCGTAAAGAAGAATTAGTTCTCACTGGCAACGTACAATGCATTTTTCTCTTTAGATTAATAATCAATGAGTATGTGAATGTTTACTTGCCTAATCATTACACATACACTCGAAGACAAAGATCCCCCATATAGCCTTTAACAGATTACTTGGGCAAGTGCTGTTGGCGATCACCCACGATGGCCGGCACGGCACACGAGGGAGTGATGGTGGCCGCCTTTGTCTCCCTCCTGCTGATGTCTCATACACACCACTCCAAGTACTCATTTAAGGCTGAGTCGATCTATGGGAGTCTCAGGACTGGGTCAGCCAAATCCCCACTCGATGTTGGCTGCGAGCGGAAATTGAACTCGGGTCTCCGCTGGGTCCCTCACGCAGCGCGCTAACCCACACAAAGACAAAGATCCCCAGTATAGCCTTAACAGACTGTTGGGGCAAGTGCTGTTAGCGAGCACCTATGAAGATCGGCGCGGCACACCAGGGGGTGGGTGGCCAGCGCCAAGCCCGGCCGCCTTTGTCTTCCGAGTTGCGATGTTTACTACACACCTCACCAGGTACTCATTTGTGGCTGAGTCGACCTAGCGGAAGCCCAGGACCGGTTCAGATAATCGTCACTGGTGTTGGCCGTGAGCGGGAATTAAACTCGGGTCACCGGGTTCAGCGAGCAACGCGCTGACCGTTGCACTATCCTCTCCCCACACGTGCACACGTAGGCATGCGCACACACACGCGCGCACACACGTAGGCATGCGCACACACACGCGCGCACACACGTACGCATGCGAATCATAAAAAAAAAACTTCTAAGAAGCCGTGCTGGCAGTGGTGTACAAGTGGTGTACAAGGGTCGGAGAGCTTATCACATCTAAAAGTTAACATATATAAATATATATCTGCTGTCTTTCCGCTATGAAGTCCATTCCCTGAAATGTTAACCTAGCATATGTATTAGTTTCCTTACGTAACAGAGTACAGGCCCTCTTCTAGATTTGAAGCTTTCGTGACTGCAAGGATTCATACTCTTAGTTCTTTCGGTAAAGTCACGTAGGTAAAAAATGAAATAAAAATTACTAAAAATAAAATAATAAAATCACGACGTTTCGGAGGCAACACAAGTCTCCGTCATCAGGTGGGACCGTCACAGCCAGATTTGCTGCACTTGATGCACATGATGCAGCAAATCATAGCTGTGACGGTCCCACCTGATGACGGAGACTTGTGTTGCCTCCGAAACGTCGTAATTTTATTATTTTATTTTTATTAATTTTAATTTCATTTTTTACCTACGTGACTTTACTGAAAGAACTAAGAGTATATACAGGCCCTCTGTCAATTCACTGGTGGGTTGGGCAAGAGACGGGCCCACGGCCGGTTCGGATGTCGCTCGCCACCCATGTCGGCCGGAGCCGACAATCGAACTCGGGTCGTCGGGCTCGGAGCGCAGCGACCACTGCCCCACCGCTCCGCCCCGAATATGCGATGCAAAACAATGATTAAGGTTTGGATTTAAAGCTTTCGTGACTGCAGGGATTCATATTCTTGGTTCTTTCGGTAAAGTCACGTAGAAGGGAAACAATAATTTTTTTTATTGTTTCCCTTCTACGTGACTTTACCGAAAAAACCAAGAATATAATGACAAAGGGGGCGAGTGAATTTCCTTAATTGTATGCAAGCACTTACATACATAAGTTCATATCTATAAATATTTTCTAAGCGGTTTCCTGCTCAAATGAACAACAAAGCGATGCTCAGCTCTCATTTACAGCCCTGAGTCAGTGGCGGAAATTCCACGTTACTATGCTGCTACTGCTGCTGCTACGGCTGCTGCTACTACTACTGCTACTACTGCTGCTGCTACTGCTGCTACTGCTGCTGCTGCTACTACTACTACTGCTGCTGCTACTACTACTACTGCTGCTGCTGCTACTGCTGCTGCTACTGCTGCTACTGCTGCTGCTACTGCTGCTACTACTGCTGCTGCTGCTGCTACTACTGCTGCTACTGCTACTACTGCTGCTGCTACTGCTGCTACTACTGCTGCTGCTGCTACTGCTACTACTGCTACTGCTGCTACTGCTGCTACTGCTACTACTGCTACTGCTGCTACTGCTGCTGCTACTGCTGCTACTGCTGCTACTACTGCTGCTGCTGCTACTGCTACTACTGCTACTGCTGCTACTGCTGCTGCTACTGCTGCTACTGCTGCTGCTACTGCTGCTACTGCTGCCCCCTGTAATCCAGCACCATGGAGGCAGCAGCGAGGGTTGGCGGATCACCGCACAGATGGGTTGTGAAGCTCCCTTACGGCGGACGTCGCCTTACGCTGGCTCGCCAGGCGAAGGTGCTGCGAGCAAGTGAACTAACCGCCATCTGTGCGGTTGGGGATCGAGCGCTGCCCCCTCGCACAAGGCGTGGGGGTTTTCTCCGGGTGCTCCGGATTTCCTATGAAGCCCTTGGTTGGGTCCGCTGTGCCCGATAAAAACGTAAGAGATAATAATCGTCATTCATTATTTGAAAACATCTTAAGATGAAAACCCAATGCAGCGTGAACTTCCTATAACTCCGTGTAGCTTCCTGGAATTTTTTTTTACTTAACCAACCTAACCAGGATTTTAATTCTCAACCTCACGAGTATAGACTGACATACACACATACGCACATGCAAAGCCATCTATACACACGTGATATCCGTACAAACATGTTTACACGCACAATGAAAGTTGCACTCGGCACAGCCGTCAATAACGCTACCATATAACATGGAACTATATCGTGAGCTTAACGCCGAGTAAGTTTGCAGAGCCAATATAATCATTAATAATTGATTTGTGGGTGAGGCCACGCCAACGACCTGCCCACGATTCTGCCGAGATGATCGACACCATTCCACGGGGGCCTCCGCCACCAGATGCACCCAGTCACGGAACTGTATCGTGACCTAACAATTGGGGAATGCGGCCCCTTACTACTCAAAGAGGACGATGGTAAGCGCTCTCACTGTCCTGACACGCAGGCATCCCCACACACGTGCAGCGTCGTAAGCGCTCACGCACGCAAACAAGACAAAGGTTGTGTGTTCAGCCCCGCGGGCAGTTGGGGAATAAGTACGTGTTGTACGAATGCCTGTTTAAGACCGGCACGGCACACAACGGTGGGTGGATGGGTGGGTGGGTGGCCAGCACCACACCTTCCGTGTCCCCACGTGCGGATGTTGAAACTGGGTGGAGAGGCAAATATGTCGGGGCCGTTGTTGTGTCGTGCTCTGTTCGTTTATTTTGCTGCCCACGTTCTTGACGATGGCGATCCGCGGTTAGTTTACGGTCGCGTGTTTTGTTCTAGTAACGCGTCGATCCATAATCCGACGCAGAGGGTCGCTGCCTGACCATAAACATCCGGCAGTTTTGGCAAAAAATTCGTTTAAGCGCATCCCGACTGTTGAGTGAGAGAATTAAATGTTGAAACCGCTCCAAAGGTTACTTGCGTCAGAACTAATTATGCCGGCAAGAAATCCACTCCCAGAAGGCCGCGTGGCCTTCGATGGGATGTTATGGTGGGGGGGAAAAAAAGGTTCACGTTTTGAACACGTGGGAAGGGGCGCACAGTGCACCGTCGGTCATTTTAGTTTACCAAGAAGGTGGCTCACAGCAGGTCCACGTGACAGAATGCCTGCAGCGCGAACGGAGCCGGGGGGGGGGGGCGGCTCGGACTGTAACGCAGTGGAGCAAACCACGGCGCCACCACTCCCCCGTACGCAAATATTTGAAATGCCGTCACTCATCGCACACAAGCGCTCGGACGGCGTTGCCTCAAGGAGCTCGGGGCCCAGCGATGATCCCTTGGAATGTGGCTCATCAGTGACCCCGCCCCCCCCCCTTAATAGAGGTTTTATTTTGGGTTAGATCGCGTAAAATTGGATAGCAAATCCACAACATTTACCATCTCTCCAACGCACAAGCGGTTAGTGCTGTACGAGTAACGACTTGGCACATTCCCTTTACGTGACAACCCTTACTAGTTGGCTGTGTCGGGTGGTGGCGGCTTTAACGACACATTCATATATTCACGCGATCTAACCCAACAAAAAAATCAAACCTGTATTATGGATGATACTGATCGTGAAAGCCTCCTACTCGGTGTTAAACTGAACCCCACCGCCACCACCACCCCGAGAGACACCCCCTGTCGGGAACAGAGACCCGACGACGACGACGGAACGTCAGTGACACTGCCTGCAAAATATATATGATGGCTATGGCTGGCGTTTCGGGCGATGGACCTGCTTCAGAGCAGACGTTCGCTGCACGTATATATATATACACACAAGCCCAACCGTCTGTGAGTGAGGCCAAAGACACAGCCTTTGTCTCCCGTCTACGCGTGCCATTAAGACGGGTCGTTGACCGAAATGTCACCTGCTGTGTCCGCTTCCTTGTAAGGGCGCACCAGCGCGCCGCTTTACCGAACCTCCGGTTGGCTACGTGCGGTGCGAAACAAGTTCAACACACACACGTGCGTTACATTTACGTTATACATATGGTATTGTTTGTGCGTTGTTGTGATGCACTTCCGTGCTTCCACTCCTTTGACCCATGCCTTCACCAACCTGGCACTGCCCAATGCGGTGAGGTACGTAAATAACATCACAGGGGGTGGGGAAGCACTCATCCAGCAGTAGATTGACAAAATGGCTGTAATATATATATGTACCCCGTGCGACATCATAACACACGTGGTCCATTTATGGATAAACCCACTAAAATAATAGCGTAGCAAATTCGAGAAAACAACATTGTATTGCAAAGCCTCTCCTATAAATTAAATCCTTTTTAACAGCGCTTCTCTCCTGGGTATGGAGCAATTGCTTTTGCAATAAGGTCAACCGGAATCAGTGGGCCATTGACAAATGGATACAAACACGTGTAACAGGTTCCATCCCCAGGGGGCTCGCATCAAATCGCATCAAATAGCATCAGATAATGTCCACCGTATAATTGCACTGTCGCACGTGTCAGCGACGTGGAAAAGTCAGCCAAGTGAGTAAAAGCCGCGGGCAAGTGACCGAAACCCGTCCCTCACACCCAGTGGGCCCTGGCACGGTTGCCACGACCCCCACGGTGAAAATAATGAAGCCGAGGGCCCTCTCACCTGTCCAACGTCTCCCTTCTTTTGGTATCCCAGCGCCCGGACCCCCTCCCTCCGGCTCACGGGCCTCGGTGCAGTTGCACCGCCTGCGTACTCGACAACTAAACCCCCGGCACGGTGGGGTGGTGGGGGAACCATGTCCTAATTCCCCCACCGTTTGTAGGTCCGCGCCCGGGCCGCCCCCCACCTCCGGCCCACGGGCCTCGGTGCGGTTGCACCGCCTGCGTACTCGACAGCCCCCCCCCCCCCCCCCAGTGGCGGCCGAGGGCTCCTCACCAGCTGGAGCCGAAGGCGGCGCAGCCGAGGTCGGCGATGCGAGCGTGGACCCAGCGCTCGCGTTCGCTGCCCCCGCCGCGGTGCCGCAGGTAGACGTTGACCTTGGTGAACTCGAGCAGGAAGTCGCTCGTGTCGTGCAGGAAGAGCACCAGCAGCCCGATGTTGTGGAACCTGCGGGGGTGCCAGCAGCGGAGCGTGCACGGATAAGTCACATTCAAGCAAATGCACGCAAGCGAATGCACGCACGGACGCACGCGGACGCACGCGGACGCACGCATGGACGCACGCGCACGCACGCACGCACGGATGCGCAGCTTCACATCCTGCGAGCACGCAGTAACACAGAGACAAAGATGCAACCGAGCCACCTGACCGGTTCAGATACACTGTGTTCAGTATGGACTGTACAAGTAATCTGAAACCTGTTCCTAGAATACACATACATGTGTACACCGGGCATGAGATTTTTAAACAATGATTTTTCATTTGTTGGAATTTCGAATTTTTTGGGACAATTTTAGATATCCATTTGTATTTTCCGTACTTGTACGAATGACGATTATATTTACATCATGCTCATGGCAGCAAATGTTACGATTTAAATAGTTTTGCATGTTAAATTGTGGACTCGTATACATTTACGTAACATTCCAACAGAAACACAATCAGTTGATGAGAATTTTTACGCAAATACTTTAAATCATCTATCCACATATGCAGGATATGTACGGACGTGATGTCACCCAGTTCTATCAGTTCCGATGACATCACGATTTTAAATCAGTTGGAACACATTTTTTTCCAGATATTCCGAGACTTCGCTCCATTTTCGGATAATTTTGGATTGATCTAAAAAACAGGAGCACATCTCCAGTTGACAACGGAGCCCCTTTGTAAAAACCACTGCTGGATGGAGGAAAATCGTCAGGGCGTGCGGGTCGTGCGGGCTATCTTTACAAGATCTCACCACGCCGGTCGGTTGCCGAGCATAGACGTGGAAGCACTCAAGCACAGAACAACAAGAAGACACTTTGCTTCGCTGCCTCTCTGCTGCCCACAACGTAGCCCCGCAGCAGCCTATGACACCTGTTTTATGCACCGCGGCAGTCAGCCCATCCAAGCACAATCCAGGCTCAATCCCGCTTAGCTTCTGAAGCTCTGCACATATGCGCGTTGAACTTCTTTCGCACCGTGCGTCGCCAACCGCGCTAACCGGTGGTGCGGGGGAAGGACAACAAACTAAACACAAAAGAAACTAAACTATTGTTTAGTTTCTTTTGTGGGTGGTTTGGTCACAGGCGGGCGGCTGTGTTCGCAGGCACTCCCATGACCAGCCATGGGACGGGTGGACGGATGAGGACAGAAGTACGGGGTGGGGTCAGTGCTACCGACCGACTGAAAACTATAAAAAAAAACTTTTTATTTTACCAGGTAAAGACCACTGAGCTATATATATTGCTCTTTTTATCAGAAGCGATCTGGTCACAAATGGTAGCTCAAATAAGTGGCTTATCGCGTGGCAATTTATAGCAGCCAAATAATCTAAATGGAAAAATCAAGAGGACCCGGAGATAAATCGACGCGACCACTGGGAGAGCACGCATACTCCAAATATACAGGCGTCGTCAGGGTCGGGATCGAATTCACGACCTCCTGCAAACCAGGCGAGGTAGTAAACATCTCCTAGCCACCGATCGACTGACCTGAGGGCGTAGGAGAAGCCGATGAGCGACAGGGTGATGATGTGGTGGAGGATCATGACGGGCGAGTCGCGGCGCCACGTGTCCAGGCACAGTGTCCCGTACACCGAGTGGAGGTAGAAGCTGCCCTGGAGCATGTAGGCGAGGTGGATGTCGCTGGGCACCTCCATGCCCACGTACCAGCCTGCGCCAGGGAACGAGCCACCGGGTTAAAGCCGATTCCTACGCTCGTAACGCACATGCTATGTGTGCTTTCGTCGAATTGTTTGGCGAGATGAGAATGAGTTATATTAAAAAAATAATTGTAGAATACTGAATGGCCATGTCACATGGCCTGTAGTCCGGCACAGCGGAGGCAGCAGCGAGGGTCGGTGGATCACGATAATCTTGTGAAACTGCTTCTTGTGGGCGTCGAGGGGTTGTCGTGCCGTGGCTCGCCGTGAGAATGCGGTACAGCAAAGTGCAGACATCTGTCCCTTCCGTGCGGAATAAAACGTTGCCCCCACGCACGCGTGCGTTTTCTCCGGGTTCTCCGGTCTCCTCCCGCATGTATGAACACTCGTTAATTAACGGAATTAACAAAGTGTTTATACATGTAGAGGACTGCAGACCTTTGGCAATTGTAGGCACCGAGCTAATCGCCTGGCTGTCCGTGCAGCTCGTCTGCGATTCCTCAGTGATTGTGAGATGCGAGTTGCTCGATGAACAATGGAATATAAAATTAAACATGATTCTTTTATGAAGGAGATTTTTTCTTCTAGAACACGATGATTTTGAATGAATGAGACTAAATAAATTGACCAACCTCATAAATACACACCACAAAATATGAGTTGCAAAATAAATCAGCAGACAATACACCTTCCCATATCTGTCCCTCCACATATATAACTAACGAGGGGGTGGGTGGCCAGCACCATGCCCGGCCGCCTTTGTCTCCCCAGTGGCGATGTTCACACACCACACCAGTTACTCGTTTGAGGCTGAGTCGACCTAGGGGAGGCCCAGGACCAGTTGAAATAATTGTCAACGATGGTGGCCGTGAGCGGGAATCGAACTCGGGTCGCCGGGTTCGTAGCGTGGCGTGCTAACCACTACACTACAATGCGTGACGCTTCCTCACGCGCGGGTCACGTGACAAATACGACGTCAAAGCTCACTTGTGTAAAAAATATCTGCATTATTGAGCTCCCCCCCCCCAAAAAAAAAACAAAGTGTATTTTTATAATTGTTGCATGGTGTGCAGTCTGGAAAGTACCCACATGGCAAATTTCAAGTTTGTTGCATGTCGGGAAGTACGCTAAACATTTTGAACAGACACATAATCACAACTTTGCATTTTATATAATTATATATGTGGAGATGTGTTTTCGTAAACATCCCATCATCCACACGACCTTCTGGGCTTACATCATTTCAGCAGCATTAGCTCAACACAAGTGAACTCTGGACCGCTTACGACATTCAGCGTCCCCTCATTAAATGGTGATATTATAAACGGCCGATGTTCAAAAGTATTGAAGGCTGTTTTTTTTCAGAAATAAAAAAATTAATAACAAAAACGAGTCACAACCTCAGGTCCACCTCTGATGACCGCCTATTTCTGTCTAAAAATAAACCTGCCCACTGTATCGTGCAGCGTCTTGACCTGCGGTTGCATTTGGGAGACTATTTAAGTCCACATTGTGTTGACTCGCACTCACAGACTCGCTTAGAGATTGACAGATGACATATAAACCTATGACTGACCATGTGCTCATCTAGATACCAATAGACCCTAATAACCAAAGTCAACTTTTTCATTTTACCAGGTAAGGCCCACTGAGCTATGCAGCTTTTTTTCAGAAGCGCCCTGGCCACAAATGATAGCTCAACGAAGTGGCTTATCGCCGTGGACATTTTTTGCAGCCAATTGGTCGAAACGCATATCTCTAAATGTGGAGGGACCCGGGACAGAACATGCAAACTCCAAATATGCAGAAGGCGTCAGGGTCGGGATCGAACCAACGACCTCCTGTATACCCGGCGAGGTAGTTAACATCTCACCACCGTGGCGCCCTCACAGAGACCCACAGACTTACATATAGATCAATGACTAAACACCTCGCTCTATCAAATAAATACACCCACACTGTTTTCACACAGCTGCTTGAGGTGCAGTTGCATTTAGATACTTGCTACATGAAGACACAATGTATACATATTATACTTTGTTACCGCCCTGCTCGGAACCACATTAATTCAGGTGACCACAGCAGGTTTTCGTAACTACGGAGAGACTCTATCAAGGCTACTGCTAATCACCTTTGGCGGGTGCCCATTAGCGGTTTTATCGGGTGCGTCGCGTGCGAGATATCGACTTGGCGCTATCTTAGCGAAACGTCCCTGAGGAGTCCATCGCGTCCCCACCGCAGCCACTGCCGGTGAGACTTTGGACACGGCCGACACGAGTCGCAAATCCGCGGCCGCCACTTCGACGATCGCAGCGCGGCGGCACAATCACCTCGCCGTATGTCACTTTGTTTTTTCCTCCCTCCCTCCCTCCCCCAGTCATATATTCCGATTGAGCTCCATAGCTCATCGGATTTCTCCAGAATGAATAAAAATTCTGATTCTGGGTCCCCATTAGCAAATCACCCACAATGCACCCCCCCACACTCCATCTGGTCAGCTATCATTATTCTTTTTTAACGCTAAACGTTACATTTTTGAAAAACACCACGAGCCGATTTTTGTAACTTGTAAAACTGTCACCATAACTGACAGCCAAGCGGCATCAAATCCTCTGAAAATGAAATGCACACTGTCCATCGCGGGACGCTTGACTGGTAAAAAATGTCAACTATGGCTGTGGACGTGCACAGGCAGGTAGGAGTCCGAGGGTGTAAACCACACTCCGAATTACCACCACATCGTTACACTGTGACCAAATCACCCGGTATGCACCCGATCCTGTCATATCGTGGAAGCTAAGCAGGTTTGAGCCTGGAGATGGTGCGTGGACGAGTTGTTTGACTTCATATTTGACTTGTTTAACTTTTAAAATGAAATGTAAAAGTTTAATTTTCCTTTTACCAGGTAAGGCCCACTGAGCTATATAGATCCTTTTCAAAAACAACCTGGCCACAAATGATAGCTCAACTTAGTGGTTTATCACGTGGAAATGTATAGCAGCCAAATACTCTAAACGCCGTGATGTTGATTCTAAATGTCAGGGGAAAACCGGAGGACCCGGAGAAAAATCCACGCGACCACAAGAAGATAGACACCGCAGACTCCAAATATACAGCAGCAGGCGTGAGGGTCGAGATCGAACCCACAACCTCGTGCATACCAGGCGAGGTAGTTAATGTCTCCTAGCCACCGTGGCGGACGGTCTCGTTTAGCCGGTTGCCCGGCTATTCTGCGAGGGACATCCGTGGTGTGCGAGCACAGCAGCAGCCCACGCAACAACAAAAGACAAACTCACCCATGGGTGACCAGCCGCATGCCACGCTGTTCGCTGTGCACTGTGCTTACGTGGCGGACAGCAACATCGCTTGTTGTACTTGACTTCTATGTCCCCCCCCTTCCCCCACACACGTCGATGCGGTGAAGTATGGGTGAGACAAGCCTCAAGACCTGCACGTGTGGTGGGGGGGGGGGGGATGCCCTCATCCAGCAGTGGATTGACAAAAAAAGGGGCTGTCTGTGTGCATTCTAATTGCCCGCATGGCATCATGTCAAGAGAACGAAGGAATTCCATTCTCGAACTCTCACAGGTGGGCAGTGCACCACCTTGTGTGAGAGAACGGCTCGGGAAGGTGGCCAACTCCGAGTGAAGTCGCTTCCATCGGTAAAGAAGAGCTTCATAGCTCGTCGGATTCCTCCTGGAAAAATAAATATTCTGATTCTGCATCTTTGTTCACACCGTAGATGCGTTCCTTTGCTATGCACCTTCGATTAACACAGTCAGCTAAAGAAGTTCAACATGCACACATACACCTCGCAGCATTTGCTGCACGTCCATTAAACTCGAACGTATCATTCTGAGAGCTGGAATTCGCCAATTTTTTGTTTTGTTTAAACGAGGCGGTGAAAACGAGACTAAAGGGAAAAAGTTAAATGTTGCGATTAAAATTGTGGACCACCAGTCGTGGCTCTCGTCGACTGGCGGAGCGGTGATGACGGCCTGAGTCAGCGGTGGCAATCCGAGGCTCGGGAGCCAGCCGCATGCGGTGGCTCTTTCAGGACTGGTGCTTCGTGACGTCATTCATCGAGGACCACCTCCGTCTCGTATTTACACGCATTGGCGGCTCTTGAACCGTTTAGTGGTTTTTTTTCCCCGACGGATTCGAAAACAAGTTCTCTTCTTGTCATTTGGGTTGCCGAATCCCGGCCCAGGGTGAATCGCGAAGATCGCCGGCGTCGCGAAAGTTACCGTCGCGGCACCGAATCGCCGCAAATCCCCGCCGCGGCGCCGGTTGCGCGAGCGGCCGCGCTCACCGGTGAACGCCGACAGCGGCTGTGCGAAGAAGTTGTAGTCGCGCATGAAGAGCAGGTAGCCGCTGTAGAGCCACGCGCCCAGGTAGAAGACGAGCTTCCACGCGTTCTCCGGGAACTTGGCCACATCCTGGGGGCGCAGCCGCAGCTTTGCCGCCAGCGGCTGCGACAAAAACACGACGGAGTGAGCGTCATCGTTGGGCAGCTACGTGTGCCGCAGATACGCGCGTGGCCCCTGATCCGGCACTGCGGACCAGAGGTCGCAAACGGGTTTTGATTCCTTACCCGAACCCGGCCGCACCAGGGTCGCAAACGGGTACCCGTACCCGTACCCGGCCACGGGTAGCCGGGTATCGGGTAGGGTACGGGTATCGGGTACCCGGTTGCGACCTCTGCTGTGGACGCCAGCGAGGGTTGGGGGATTGCCGCGCACATTTTGAGAGACTCCCTTCCCCGTCGCGAGTCCAGGGTTTCCTCCCGCACGCATAAACACTCGCTAATTGGCAGAAAATTCGTAAATATAAAACCCATTACATCGCGCCTTAGGGATTGCGACGCGTCCTACCGTTTTTTCAGGATGTCTGCAGCCGCATTCAGGGCTTCAGACACGGAAAGCTTCGCCACGCGGGGTCACATGGGATCACGGTGGGGAGGGGGGGATCGTGGTTTACTGGCGCTTGGGGATAAAACAGGAATGTATAAAATTCCACAAAACAGAAACAAGGGCGGTTGTTTAGTGGAGGGCCTAAATGCGGTGCTGTGAGAGTTCGGGAGCTCACAAGAGAGACGTGTGTGTATGCCTCTGGTCTAGAAGTCACAAGCAAAACTGTCGAACACCCTTTTCCTGTTCCACACGCACGCAACCGGCCCCACTGTTCGACGCTGGGTTTTTACGCAGAGTCGGCAAATTTGGACAAAAACAAGCCGGCCATCCACTTCCGGAGCGCGTGGCCCAAAATACTCCGTTTGAAACTGTAATGACTTGAAGGGATTTGAATCGACTCCTTTATAAAACTGCTGTGCCGCTGGGGATTGTTTTAATTGCTATTGTTAGACATGATGTTAGCTTTTCGATTAAAAGCTTTCGTGACTGCGGGGATTCATCTTCTTGGTTCTTTCGGTAAAGACAGACCTGTTCTTCACCTGAGGACGGCTGCTTGCGTTGTGGCCAAAACGTCGTGAGAATTGTATTTTAGTACGTTTCATTTTTATCGTTTTATTATTTCCCTTCTACGTGACTTTACCGAAAGAACCAAGAAGATGATGTTATCTGTTTCTGCAATGTGCACGGATAGAGTTTTGGAAGGGAGTTCAGATGGCGGCGTGGATTTCAAGGAACGCAAAGGACTTGCTCTCTGACCCCGTCTCTGTTACAGTCGCTCCGTCAGCTACTGCTGCCACCACTGAGTCGGGACAAAGTTCAACGCGCTTATCGGCCCCCGTGCCAGAAACCCAAATACTGCGCTGGGGCGAGATAAATCCCTTCGTCCCCGCTTCACCCCCTAAACCCCATCAGCAGCCACGCGCACTGCATAGCCACACTGCCAGCACGTGTCAAGGAATGATGCAACGTGGCGCGAGGGGGACATTGTCAGTGGTGAGAGGTGGCCAAAATGTGAAGTGGGCTTTTTGTTTTGTTTAAATCGTGACCCTAACGCTTAGCTCTCCGACGCGTTTTCGGGTATCTGCCTTAGGCATGTGGAGCGAAACGTCAGACAACGGACAACGAGCAGTACCACCCGAAAATAGGGCAGAGAACTACATAGCTGCACAACCGCGAAAACCTCCAAAGTAGTGTTTCTGTGTTTTAATTGTATTCCGCATGTTCACGTGCAGTCCTGATGTGTATCCACTGCTGGATAAGAGCTTTCCTTGATCCCGTGCAGTTGATGGCGGTTATTTGACCATATTCTTGAGTTTTTTCGGTAAAGTCACGTAGGTAAAAAATTCAAATAAAATAAAAATTACGACGTTTCGGAGGCAACACAAGCCTCCGTCTTCAGGTGGAACCGTCACAGCACGCTCGCTGCATCAAGTAAATGTATTCACCTGAAGACGGAGGCTTGTGTTGCCTCCGAAACGTCGTGATTTTATTTTTTAATTTTATTTTAATTTTTTACCTACGTGACTTTACCAAAAAAACCCAAGAATATGAATCATTGCAGTCACGAAAGCTTCAAATCTAGAATTATTTGACCATACTTCACCATGCTGGTTCGGGTGGCTTGATGATAGCAGACAGCAAAGATGTTGATACGGTAACGCAAGTAAATTTTTGAGTTCGATCGCGTAAATATTATAAATGTGTCGTTAAACCCGCCACCACCCGACACACGGCCAACTAGTAAGGGTTGTCACGTAAACAGAACGTGGCCAATTCGTCACTAGTACAGCACTAGTGTGCAGTGTATAGTGTAGTGTATAGTGTAGTGTATACTGTAGTATACTAGTACAGCACACCGGTGTGTTGAAGAGCCAAGCCACAACAAACCTTACTAGTTGGCTCTGTCGGGTGGTGGCGGGTTTAACGACACATTTATATATTTACGCGATCTAACCCAAAAAACCTCTTATGGATGATATTGGTCGCTAAGGAACTACGTGTTAAACTACAATTAAATTTGCTGCACGACAATGTAGGCCCGCGGCAGCCTATAGCACCTGTTTCAAGCGTGGCGGTCACCCATCAAAGCAGTGCGTAGGCTCAACTTAGCTGAGCTTACAGAGTATGTCCGATCGGGCGCAATCCGGGCGATTCTGTCGTAGGCTGATTACGGTATATTGATTTTTTAGTAAATACGACAGCAACATAGAAACAATGGGGAGGTGAAATGCATAATAAAATAAATACAAATAATATTCTTTTATTATTTTAATTCTATAATTAATTCTATAATTATTTCAATTATTTTTATTTATTTATTTTTACCTACGTGACTTTACCGAAAAAACCTAAGAGTACGAATCCTGGCAGTCACGAAAGCTTCAAATCTAGAAAGCTTCAAATGCAGTTGCTTGCCACGTGAAAGTGAAGCCGAATTAGGCAGCGGTCTCCAGCAGAAGACGTGATCGTGGCTGGGGCCCAACTTGCCGGCGGACAGGGTTGTTGCTTTCTGGCAAGCGAACCGCGAGTGACATTCGAGGCCCCGTGATGACAGGGTCCCGGACACCCCACGGCGTTACGCGTTTTCATAATAAAAAGTTTTTTTGGGGTGAGATCGCGTAAATATGAATGAGTCCGCTAAACCCACCACCATCACCACCACCCGACACGGACAATTGATAAGGTTTGTCACGTAAACAAAACGTGGTCAGTTAGTTAGTTACTGCAGCACACCGGTTGCGTGTTGGAGAGTAAACCCACAACATTTACAGTTAGAGTATTGTGACGTTTCGCTGGCGATTAATACAACCACAACAACCACCACCACCACCACCACCACAGCAACCACCACAACAACCACCACAACAACCACCACAATAACCACCACAACAACCACCACAATAACCACCACAACAACAACCAACACAACAACCACAACAACCAACACAACAACCACAACAACCACCACAACCACCACAACAACCACCTCAAAAACCACAACCACCACAACCACAACAATCACAACCACCACAACAACCACCTCAACCACAACAACCACAACCACCACAACAATCACCACAACAACCACCTCAACCACAACCACCACAACAACCACCACAACCACCACAACAACCCCCACAACCACCTCAACCACCACAACAACCACCACCACAACAACCACCACAACAACCACCACAACAACAACCACAACAACCACAACAACCGCAACCAGCAACCTCGCCAGGCGATTTGCTTATTAATCGCCAGCGACACGTCACGATACTCCGCGTGTAGATGTTGCGGGTTTACTCTCTAACACGCAGCCGGTGTAATGGGATAAGTATCTAATTGGCACGTTTTATTTACGTGACAAACCTTACTAATTGGCGGTGTCGGGTGCAGGTGGGCTCAGGACACCTTTACATCGACTCGATTTCACACAAAGCACCTTTATTATGAATAACACTGGTCAACACACTTTTTCTGGCATAAGGTATTCCAACGGGGTTAAGGTAATTTTGGGGTGCTGATTCCAAATCTGGCATCAGTTTGTGTCTATCACATGAGGTTTTTGAGATATAAAAGATTGCATTTTCAATAAAAAGTGCAGAAGAAAAATATTAAATAAATGTGGACATCTACATAAAATTATATTATATACACACTATCCTAAAAATACAGCACCATATTTTAACACTAAAGCAGTCACTGCCTCGCAACAACTTGCAATCATAAGTGACAGAGTTAATTTCGGGTAAAATCAATGAAAATGGGGTATGCCGATAGCATAAAAATGAGATGTGATAGAGCAAATCTGAGATCAGATTTCGAATCAGCACCCTGAGATTAGTCTTGAACAACTGCAAAAATTCAGGCCAGAATTTTTTTAAATCCTTTATATTAAGTTCACTTGCTTGCTTGCGCGCTTACGACCGTGCAAATCTTTCGGTCGTTTTTTAACCCACTTCCCGTGATCCAATCGAGCTGACATTTTGCACACAGACTCGTGCGTGACAATTTATTTTCGTGAAAATGTTTTTCCATAACTTTACACTTTTTAGGATTGTTTTTATATTTAATTACCAATTGCTTAATGGTGGCAGGCAATCATCTGACCCATAGGTGGCAGCCATCTCAAACCAGAGGACGAGAGGACTCTAGCCGCCACGCATATAAAGGATTTATAGTGAAAAACTTTGTTTTTACGGGTTAATTTTTTATTTGTTGATCAGTGTAATAGTTGTCGCAAAATCTTCCTCCTACTGCTACTGCTGCTGTGCGTGAAACCGCGTGGGGGTCTCTGTGGCCGCGCTGTGGTGTCTGCGCTCTCCGATTGTAGGGCTCCGTGCACGACGTCCGACGTTTCGGTTCGATACCCGCGCTGGCAGCTTCTGCTTAAAAGAACCCCCGTCAATAATAATCGGCGACCTGTTGGGGCAACGCTCCTCCTTCTTCTGAGCAGCTGCAGCAGCAGCACATTGTTTAAGAGGGCCCACAATGTGAACTTCCGTCTACTGTATATGGGGTAAGCCTTTGGCGGACCCCCCCCCCCACCCTATGCACTCCTCGTTGGTGGCGTTATCCTCAAGACAGAACAACAACAAACATGTGCCGGTTCTTACGGCCACAGCGGAGTGTGCGCGCTCATCTTAGTCGACACACACCAGCGTTGTTGTTGTTGTTGTCGTCGTTAAATGGTTCCCTCTCTCCTCCCCAGTTAGTGCTGCTCAGCACTGCCCGCCCGGCACAATAAAACGACGACACGACACTACACTATCTCTGTCGGCGATCTCCCGCATGCCGCAATGAGCCCCCTCGTCTCGAGCGGGTGGCGAAGCGCGGCTCGGCACGGGGCTCTGGTGCAAGACGCGACTTGGGGCACCCCACACCCACCCACACCCACCAACACCCACACCCACCCACCACCCTCCAACCCACCCACACCCACCCACCAACACCCACCCACACCCACCCACCAACACCCACCAACACCCACACCCACCCACCACCCTCCAACCCACACCGACCCACTTTCCTCCAACCCACACCGATCCACCTCCCCTCCAAAACCCTTCAACCCACCCACCCCCAACCCACCCACCCACCTCCAACCCACACCCACCCACCCCCAACCCACCCACACCCACCCCGCTTCAACCCACCCACACCAACCCACCCAAACCCCTCCAAACCACCCACCAACCCACCTCCAACCCCCACCTCCAACCCACCCACCATGTCCAAATTCCACCCCGGCGAGTCTGCGCGAACCCTTCTCCACCGTGACCCCCGCTGCTGCCACTGCTGCCGCTGCTGCCACTGCTGCCGCCGCTGCTACTGCTGCTGCTGCCACTGCTGCTGCCGCTGCCACTGCCGCTGCCGCTGCCACTGCTGCTGCTGCCGCTGCTGCTGCCGCTGTCACTGCCGCTGCCGCTGTCACTGCTGCTGCTGCTGCCACTGCTGCTGCCACTGCCGCTGCTGCTGCCACTGGTGCTGCTGCTGTCACTGGTGCTGCTGCTGCCGCTGCTGCTGCTACTGTCGCTGCTGCTGTCACTGCTGCTGCCGCCGCCGCCGCCGCCGCCGCCGCTGCTGCTGCTGTCACTGCTGCTGCTGCTGCTGCCACTGCTGCTGCTGCTGCCGCTGCTGCTGCTGCTGTCGCTGCTGCTGCTGCCCCATGGCCTGCGCCCTCGGCAGTGAGCCCCGCGTGGCGAGGCAGCCTGGGCACGGCAATCCCGAGCCGCCCTGACCCCCCACGCACCCACAATCACCACCCTCCACAACTCGATCCCACCTCTGGCAGCCCTGACCCCCCACGCACCCACAATCACCACCCTCCACAACTCGATCCCACCTCTGGCAGCCCTGACCCCCCACGCACCCACAATCACCACCCTCCACAACTCGATCCCACCTCTGGCAGCCCTGACCCCCCACGCACCCACAATCACCACCCTCCACAACTCGATCCCACCTCTGGCAGCCCTGACCCCCCACGAACCCACAATCACCACCCTCCTCAACTCGATCCCACCTCTGGCAGCCCTGACCCTGCTCAACCAGGGGTCGGCAAAACCAAACATAACAAGATGAGGCTGATTTTTGTTTCGAATTCGGTGTAAAAAAAAAAAACTCTAAATATTTTCGGGGTCGCGGTGCTCGTGATGAGTACGAGACGGAGCGGGGGGGGGGTCCGTAAATGAAGCCCCACCACATCCGCAGGTCGCCAAACCCTGCGGCGCTAAACCTCTCCCACTCACCTCGTCTCGTCTCATCCACCACAGTCTCCTACCCCATCCACCACAGTCTCTTACCCCTCGTCTCGTCTCATCCACCACAGTCTCCTACCCCTCGTGTCGTCTCATCCACCACAGTCTCCTACCCCATCCACCACAGCCTCCTACCTCATCCACCACAGTCTCCTACCCCTCGTCTCGTCTCATCCACCACAGTCTCCTACCCCTCGTCTCGTCTCATCCACCACAGTCTCCTACCCCTCGTGTCGTCTCATCCACCAGTCTCCTACCCCTCGTCTCGTCTCATCCACCACAGTCTCCTACCCCATCCACCACAGTCTCTTACCCCTCGTCTCGTCTCATCCACCACAGTCTCCTACCCCTCGTCTCGTCTCATCCACCACAGTCTCCTACCCCTCGTGTCGTCTCATCCACCACAGTCTCCTACCTCATCCACCACAGTCTCCTACCTCATCCACCACAGTCTCTTACCCCTCGTCTCGTCTCATCCACAGTCTCCTACCCCATCTACCACAGTCTCCTACCTCATCCACCACAGTCTCTTACCCCTCGTCTCGTCTCATCCACAGTCTCTTACCCCATCCACCACAGTCTCCTACCTCATCCACCACAGTCTCTTACCCCTCGTCTCGTCTCATCCACAGTCTCCTACCCCATCCACCACAGTCTCCTACCTCATCCACCACAGTCTCTTACCCCTCGTCTCGTCTCATCCACAGTCTCCTACCCCATCTACCACAGTCTCCTACCCCATCTACCACAGTCTCCTACCCCATCTACCACAGTCTCCTACCCCATCTACCACAGTCTCCTACCCCATCTACCACAGTCTCCTACCCCATCTACCACAGTCTCCTACCCCATCTACCACAGTCTCCTACCCCATCTACCACAGTCTCCTACCCCATCTACCACAGTCTCCTACCCCATCCACCACAGTCTCCTACCCCATCTACCACAGTCTCCTACCCCATCTACCACAGTCTCCTACCCCATCTACCACAGTCTCCTACCCCATCTACCACAGTCTCCTACCCCATCTACCACAGTCTCCTACCCCATCTACCACAGTCTCCTACCCCATCTACCACAGTCTCCTACCCCATCCACCACAGTCTCCTACCCCATCTACCACAGTCTCCTACCCCATCTACCACAGTCTCCTACCCCATCACCACAGTCTCCTACCCCATCTACCACAGTCTCCTACCCCATCTACCACAGTCTCCTACCCCATCTACCACAGTCTCCTACCCCATCTACCACAGTCTCCTACCCCATCTACCACAGTCTCCTACCCCATCTACCACAGTCTCCTACCCCATCTACCACAGTCTCCTACCCCATCCACCACAGTCTCCTACCCCATCTACCACAGTCTCCTACCCCATCCACCACAGTCTCCTACCCCATCTACCACAGTCTCCTACCCCATCTACCACAGTCTCCTACCCCATCTACCACAGTCTCCTACCCCATCTACCACAGTCTCCTACCCCATCTACCACAGTCTCCTACCCCATCTACCACAGTCTCCTACCCCATCCACCACAGTCTCCTACCCCATCTACCACAGTCTCCTACCCCATCTACCACAGTCTCCTACCCCATCCACCACAGTCTCCTACCCCATCTACCACAGTCTCCTACCCCATCTACCACAGTCTCCTACCCCATCTACCACAGTCTCCTACCCCATCTACCACAGTCTCCTACCCCATCTACCACAGTCTCCTACCCCATCTACCACAGTCTCCTACCCCATCCACCACAGTCTCCTACCCCATCTACCACAGTCTCCTACCCCATCTACCACAGTCTCCTACCCCATCTACCACAGTCTCCTACCCCATCTACCACAGTCTCCTACCCCATCCACCACAGTCTCCTACCCCATCTACCACAGTCTCCTACCCCATCTACCACAGTCTCCTACCCCATCTACCACAGTCTCCTACCCCATCTACCACAGTCTCCTACCCCATCTACCACAGTCTCCTACCCCATCCACCACAGTCTCCTACCCCATCTACCACAGTCTCCTACCTCCTGGACCCTAAGCGCCCACCCATGGATCACACGCGGATTTCCCCTCTTGGCCCCCTCGTCACTTCCACCGCCCTCATGCCTCACCGATCCCTTCCCCTGCCCCCCCCCCAGACTCCACATCCCTTCCCCTGCCCCCCATTCCCATCTGGAACCCTGCCCCCATAACAAAGACATCCCCCGCGTAACCCGAACAGACTGTTGGGGCAAGTGTCGTTAGCGAGCAGCAGCTGAGAAGCCCGGCACGGCACACACGAGGGGGACGGGGTGACCAGCACCACCCCGGCCGCCTTTGTCTCCCCCAGTGTCGACGTTTACACACCGCACCAACTACTCATTTGAGGCCGAGTCGACCTAGGCGAGTACCCACGCGACCGGGCTGGGACGACCGCCACCGCTGTCGTCCGTGAGCGTGGAGGAGGAATTGAACTCGATGTGACCGCGCGGTTCACCACCACCGCTCCCCCCTCTAACCCCGTCCGTGTCATCTTCTTGGTTCTTTCGGTAAAGTCATCACGTAGAAGGGAAGTAATAAAATAATAAAAATAGAACATAATAAAATATTATGTTTTATTTTTATGAATAATAAAATATTATGTTTTATTTTTATTATTTTATTACTTCCCTTCTACGTGATGACTTTACCGAAAGAACCAACAAGATGAATCCATGCTGCAGTCACGAAAGCTTCAAATCGAAACCCGTCCGTGTCGTGCCCCCCCCCCCCCAGCGAGTCACCTTGAAGACGTGGGACGTGGCGAGGATGCGCGCCGTGATCCACGCGAGCGCCAACACGACCACGATGACCGCGTCGCGGCGCCCGAACGTGGCCGCGTTGCGCAGCGTGCGCGCAGCGAGCGCGGGGCCGCAGTCGGAGCAGTCGCTCCACTCGCTGCGCACTCGCGAGTACACGGCCACGGCAGCATCCGCGTAGTCGAACAGCAGACCCGAGACGCCTCCAACTCCATCACCTCCATCACCTCCTGCTGCTGCTGCTGCCATCGCCGAGAGATGAGCGAGCGAGCAGCCCCAGAGCAGATCTGACCCCCCGCGCACGCGCGAGTAACGGGAACAGCTGCGCCGTGTCGAGGGGGAGTTGTGTTGGGGGGGTTTAAGGCGGAGCGAACATTGGGGTTGGAGCTGGGGCGGTGCTGCTCGTCCCCTACCCCGCGTGTGTGTGATGGGGCGGTGGTGGTGGGGGGTAGCGCCCCCTAGCAGCTGGCAGGAGGAGCGATGCTCAAGAGTGTCTGCCCCCCACCCCCCCCCGGCTCAACTCGCGCCGTGTCCTCGTTTGCACTCTTGGCCACGCGTGCGCTGTGGCAACACGTGCGGTGGCTGGGTTCCGTTGGTGGTGGTGGTGCGTGTTAAACAGGGCTTCGTTTCAGCCAGCATTGGTATTGCCCGGTAGAGATGCAACGTAAGGCAAACGTCAGCGTGTGGTCGGGACCGTTTGTTCCAGCGTTAGCCCGACAGATTTCCATGTTTTGATGGGTGGGTTGGTGACCCGAAACATATCTCGATGGCACGCGCGCGACATCTCTGATGATGCCCTCTCGCTGTGGTTACTCGTCACCTCCCGGTGTTGGGTGGTTTCCCCCAGGGACACATTTTAAGACATTTTAACGTTGGCCGTGTAGGGGAGCTCCGTCGTGCAGAGCTCGACATTTCATTTCATCCGAGTCTGATCATTTGGTTGCGACAACGTCCAGTATCTACCGCGACACGTGGCACCGTCCAAGTCACATTCCATCTCCCACAATTGTTAAACGACTTGGACTCTCGCCCCTGTTGCCCCGTCGCATTGTGAATGTTTTCGGTTCATTACATTTTGGTTTTCTTGGTTCTTTCGGTAAAGTCACGTAGAAGGGAAATAATAAAATAATAATAATAAACATAATAAAATACAATTCTCACGAGGTTTCGGCCACAACGCAAGCAGCTGTCCTCAGATGAAAGACAGCGTCATTCAGACGCTGTCTTCCCGACAGACCTGTTCTTCACCTGAGGACGGCTGCTTGCGTTGTGGCCAAAACATCGTGAAAATTGTATTTAATAATGTTTTATTTTTTATTATTTTATTATTTCCCTTCTACGTGACTTTACCGAAAGAACCAAGAAGATGAATCCCTGCAGTCACGAAAGCTTTAAATCGACATTTTACATTTTGGTTGTTCGACATTTTCACTCCGTGAGCCGAAATGCAAAGAAATATTTGCAAACTATATGAAATGCTACAACGTTAAACAAGATGTTTGGTGATGTAGCTGGCAGCATTGGCAGTGGTGCACAAGTCTACATGACAATACACTAACACTGAACTAAAAACAAATATTTTTTTATTTTACCAGGTAAGGCCCACCGAGTTATATTGCTATTTTTCAGAAGCGACCTGGCCACAAATGATAGCTCAACAAAGTGGCTTATCACGTGGCAAATGTTATTGCAGCCAAACTCTAAAACGAGCGTTTCTAAAATTTGCAGGAAAAACTGGAGGTCCCAGAGAAAAATCCACGCGACCACGGGGAGAGAGAACATGCAAACTCCAAATACACAGACATCGAGATCGAACCCACAACCTCCTTTAAACCAGGCGAGGTAGTTAACATCTCGCCACGGTGGCGCAAAAATAACACTGTGGTCTTAAGCCAAAAAAATGGTTGACGTTTCAGGCAACGGCCTTTCTGTGTTTGCCGGAAATGTCATCTATTATATATTTTTTTTCTATTTATGACCACTGTTATTGACTTATGTGTTGAGTTTGTATTGTAAATCTAACATATTGTAAAATAAAAACATGCACACACATAACTTGCATAAACCAGAATCACTTAGCACGCGATTCAATGCTTGTACCGTGAGCGGGAGTTGATGAATCATTGTAGGCCGCGGGTTTAGATAGCACAATCAACGGAATGCCAAGACTGGTTTTTCATCACCAGTTCAACACACCCTTTCCCAGAAACTACAGACGTTATTCCAGGAATACAATTAGCCAATTGTATGGAGAGATTCATTTCATGTTGTAGACACTTTTTAGTCGTGTACTGTATAATGGTTTTGGGTCAGGGATAACAAGGAGTCATCATACCTCCTTGAAGATGTGTACCCCGCTGCTTACCAGCGGGATGTTGTATATAAACAGCTTCAGGGAATGTTTTTCAGTAGTTCCTCAAGCCGGTGTAGATTATGCAACATTAGCCCAACACCCCCAGTGATTTGATTAACTGCAGTTCCCAATGCTTAATGTGTTATCTCATAACAGATCAATAACTGGATTTTACAATGAGCAGAAATCACTCCACTTACATACACGATATTATTGCTCATTTCTCAGCACAGTGATTCTTGCACTGTGCCATGTTTGTTGTAGTACGGAGTTAGACTGATGGCCTTAATCTAAGTTGTCTTGTGGTTGTTGTTGACTTGCATCCCACTAAAATTTTTGCACACAGCGTTGGTGTACGGTGCTTTTTCTGGAAGATTTTTGCTGTTTTTTCCCTGGATTTTTCTGTTTGCGCATAGTCTCTTTAAGATGTTTTCTTGTTCATGTTTTAGTTTTTTTGCCGTTGCACCCGATTCAAGAGCCGAATGACTCAGGTTTATACCAAATAAATGAACTTGAACACAGCGACCCAAGTTAAAATCCTGGCCACGACCTCTTGCTGCGCATTGATGGCATGCCTCCCCCAACCCGGGCTGACCAGAGTGGTGAAGTATGGTTCAACACCCTCGCACGACCAAGACGTCGTGGAACGGTAAAGGCCTTTATCCAACCATCAGTGGACTGACACAATTGTGTGCATTGTAATAACCGTTTGAATTAAACACCAAGTATTTCCCCTTCAACTTCGATTGGAATTATTGCCAAAGTGGAAATATCCACTTGAGTTGTCTAAGCAGCTTGCTGCTGAGCTTTCGTAAATAAAAACATGTTTAAAAAATATATATTTTCTGAATACTTGGTTTCCCTCGCTTTTGCGGATTTGGTTTGTGCGATTTCGGGCTGCACATCCGGCTAACCAAAACATCGATATATTCACTCAAATGCGACATTGTGTGTACTGTAGGCAGGCAGCAGTCTCGTACGGGTTTGCTTTTTTTCGAGCGTATCAACAGCACATAGCGAGGGAAACCTGTACTCGGCAGTTGATCAAGATGTCAATGACTGATATGGGTGATTCACACATCTCTTGAAGTATGTGAAGGTTAATCCCAATCCTGACCTCTCCGCTGTTGATCCCATAGCAATCATGCGAGACACATAGTGCATCAGTGTGCTGCTGTAAGAGAGCCTCTGTCTGATTTTATGAGCAAGGGCCAATAAACCTGAACGTTGTGAACTCGTACGGCCTTTATAGTCTAAGAACTTCAAGAATGAACGTTAAACTGAAGAACCACAACTTTATTTTTTGCAGTTTACATCTTGTGACCGAACCGGGGCTTATCTCCCGAAATATTTTAAACGTACCGAGACCACTGATATTTTGCACATTTAACACAACAGTGTCGTAAACCCAAACATCACATACCCACCCGAATTAACCACCAGTTCAATAGTTGCGCATGGTCTATCCGACTTTTCTACATATCTGTCCATACCGCAGCCTCCAGTTGAGTTGGATATTCCTTTCACTCTGGAGGCTTCCGATAAACACAGCACACACTCGCAATCACGATCACGTAAATGTACACAATCGACCGGCAAACAAAAACCTTCTGCACGACGTTTGACAAGTGGGTTTGTATTTCATGCTATCCGTACATGGGAATTTATATACAGTACAAACAGTATTTGCGAATGGATACAAAAATATACATCTGAACTGCATTAAATATGCGAATTTGCTCTTTAAGCTTGTGATTAGCAATGCATGTGCTACCAAGTATTTGTATGGTTATCAGAATATATTCATCCAAGCCGAAATCAATCGCTCAACTTTACCGCTTACTTGGGGGGGCAACGGATCAACGTTCACGTCACGCCACAACATCAGTACCGGGGGGCGGGGGGGGAGGCGCCCCCCAGGGACGCTAATGGCCCAAACAGCAGACACAGAATTCTGTAAGCGTGAAGTCTACGGCGGCTCTCGGTCTCAGCCAAGCTCCGGTTCCCACAGCGGGGTCCCGTGCTGCGCGTTATATAACTCGGCGGGTCTGTGGACAGCCAGGCGCAGCAACTGCTTGCGAGATGTAACAGGTACACGTTTATAAAGTAATGTTATTCTGTGAACAACAAAAAAACTCCACCCTCCTTGCTTTATTGAAAAACTTGAAAACTAAATGTGTACAACGCACTACCTACGACAGGGCTTCTCAAACGTCAGTCCTCACAACCCATCATGTGTACCAATCATGAGGGTGTGCATGCAAAGTGTAATTGCCATGATTTCGATTTAAAGCTTTCGTGACTGCAGGGATTCATCTTCTTGGTTCTTTCGGTAAAGTCACGTAGAAGTAATAAAATAATAAAAATAAAACATAATAAAATAATTATCACGACGTTTCGGCCACATCGCAAGCAGCCGGCTCAAAGGTAATATCACATACCTGCATTTCCCATAAATATGCTAAATTCCTCTTGATATGCAAATTATTTTGTCAAGGCGCCCTTCCCCCCTTCCAACCCAGCTTAAATATACGCTCCAAGCGTGGTGGCGTTTCATTCAGACGCTGTCTCCTCGACAGACCTGGTCTTCACCCGAGGACGGCTGCTTGCGTTGTGGCCGAAACGTCGTGAGAATTATTTTATTATGTTTTATTTTTGTTTTATTACTTCCCTTCTACGTGACTTTACCGAAAGAACCAAGAAGATGTAATGCCATGATTTGTATCAGAAAGGAAATAGTTTAGAGCGCAAAAGCGCTGTGTCCGCAGCAGAGGATACTACAGCAAATCTATTGTTGTGCCGTAAACTTAGAGCTCGCTTAGTGCTCAAGATGCGCTTTCTCACTCGTACCGCTTTTTAGATTTTCATTTTCAGTAAAAATGTTCTCCAGGACAAGCAGCGTAATAAAGAATCGGCCATCTACAGCATAGCATGAAGCGAGGGGTGCCTGTAGTTTAAACGCTCCTGCCACTATGCTCCCCACC